AGAAGGCTGAGTGGGGACTTGGTGGCGGTCTATAAACTCACTAGGGGGGACCAGAAGGGTTTGGGGGAGACCTTGTTTCCCCCAGCGCGCCCCGGGATAACAAGAAATAATGGCCACAAGTTGTTGGAGAGTAGGTTCAGTTTAGACATCTGTAGGAACTACTTCACAGTTAGGGCGGCTAGGATCTGGAACCAACTTCCAAGGGAAGTGGTGCTGGCTCCTACCCTGGGGGTCTTTAAGAAGCGGCTCGATGCCTACCTGGCAGGGGTCGCTTGAGCCCAGTTTCCCTCCTGCCCAGGCAGGGGGTAGGACTTGAAGATCTACAAGGTCCCTTCCGATCCTACTTCTATGATTCTATGATTCAGATCTGGGAGTGTTGAGACCAGGTCCAACAAGCTGATTGTTGGCCCAGACCCGAGACAGCTCAGTTGCATGTGTGGCTTTCAGAATCTCCAGGGCACTGGGACCCCTGGACTGAGGAGCATCTCTCATAGCCTGGGCATCCTCTGCCCCAGGATGTCAAAAAGCACAAATTCAGTGCAGCTCCCTGCAACCTGGCATTTTTAAATGCCTTGCCCTGCAGCCCTCATTTTTTGTGGAATGACTTTGTGTCTGGTTTGCCACTACAGTGACCTAAAATGGCTGAACACGTAGTACTATTATTATGTATGATGCGATGAACACATGAATTGTGCCATAACTGTAACGTGCCAGGAGCCATACTCTCTGTTCCTCTAGGCTATGAATCCAAGCCTGAAGCTGCCTGTGATCCTTTCTGGATCAAACTAACCATCACTTACTTCATACCTGCAGGTTTGACCCAGCTATTGACAATGTATGGGAGGATTTATGCCTGTGTGAAGCCTCCCTGGCATCCATTAGTTTCTGCATATGTGTTACCTACTGTAAGACAAGGGGCATGATCTATGATACTTAAGTATTCATGGTATCTGGCGGTGGAGCAGGTCAGCTTAATCGCTGCCCCCGTTCCTGTTTGACATTACTAGGGCTCAGTTGCCCCTGGCTGATCCTTAATCCTGCAGCTGTCTGTGTGCAGAACCTGCGCGGGTCACACTCGGTCATTCTGATTAACATCCTATGGGTTCCTACTGGAAAATATTGGTTTTCCTTTAATCCCACCTTTCCTTTAATGCACGCTTTTCTTGGCTGGCCATAGTACTGAGGGTATTTAGTAGGGCTGTGCAAAGCTTCAGTAGCCGATTTGATTCGGAGGAGATTCAACCTGATACGGCGACCGAAATTCTGAATCTAAATCGAATCGGGAGACCAATTAAAAGCTCTGAACCGAATCGGAAGCCTCCAAATCGATTCAGAAAAGAATTGGCCAATTCGGCCATAGACTAAACAGGCAGCAGTCCTCACCACACTGGACACAGCTGCCTCCAAGTGGTAAGTCTGTTGTGATGGGCTGTTGGGGAAGGGGAGAGGCATGGGGGAGGGAGGGATTGGGGCTG